CGCAGATAAAGGGTTCTCCCACAAGCTTGCAGTTTGACATTCCTAAAAGGATCACAGACTTAACCAGCCTGTTGTTTAGAGAATTGGAAATGTGAGTGAAAAGAAAAAGAACCAAGATTATTGGAATACTGTCAGGGTGGGGGAATATAGTGAGAAGTAAATAACTATGCAAGTGGTTTTGAACCACAACCCCCCCCTCTTCCTCCCCCCCCCCATATGACAGCAGTAGAACCCAATTAATTGGATAATTTATTGGCACAGGGCTCTGCTATTTTTTCCCCCTTCTGGCTGACAACCCTCTCAGTTCCCTTGAATATTTTAGAAACAATAGCATCCATTTCAGTTTCCCTTTCCCCCAGCATTTCAACCCTTTCAATCACCTCTTCCCTCCCTGGGACAGAATGATGAGAGTTGGGTGCTGAGTGTAAATAATTTGTTCAGGATTTTCTGCTGAAAGGTGTAATTGAGCTGAATCTGAATTTTAAGGCAGACCTTTGTGTCAGACGCTCCAGCAAACTAATTCAGCTCGTTAAATGCCAGGCAGATTTGGTGTGGGGCTTGCTTTTTACAACTGGGTGCAGTCAGCCAGCTGTTTAATAGCAGAGACTCTTGGACAATGCATTCCCCCCCCCCTCTGAAAATGTAAGGGGCCTTCCCGGATCCTGCTTGAACATCCAATCCAAAAAATAGCTTTGAAATGGAAATGGTTTGGGACAGGAGATAGGTTGAGGCCCGCCTCACTATTAAACGGAGCGGGCAGATGCTTAATTTCTGAATTAATGTGTTTTCTGAAATTGCCCAGGACGCTGAACTACGAACTAACGCAATGGCTTTGAGTTTGTACCATCCTTGGAGAGACAGGAGTGTCATTTCAGCTTATTTCTCCTCCCAGTGGGAGAATTTGGAAGAAGTCTTTGCTTTTATAAGGCTCATTATGTACCTATTTCTGTTGGTTTCCTAACCATACCCAGCAGGAACTCATATTTGCAGGAGCAAAAGGGGGTGGGTCCATGAGAATGAAGTATTAGGTATGTTCGCCACCTTGAATTATTTATAAAAATAATAAAGGTGGGATAAAAAAAAATCTAAAAAAAAATGGGTCAGGGGTATCCCCAGGATGAGGTTGAAAAAAATAAGGATGGTTGCCAATACAGTGTAGTCGAAACTTGAATTGCACTGTGGTGGCCACCATCTTGACTTTTTTGACCATACCTTGCAGACCCCCCCTGCCAGCAGGGTTGCATGTGAGACACGTGTTTCAGATTGCACAAGCCTACTTTAAAGAAGTGTAAGTCCCAAGCAGCTTGGTCACCATGTAAGCAGGACCAAGGGAATAATCTTACTCAACCCTTTCCCATTCCAGACGGGCGCCCAATTGGTGTGGAAGGAATTCAGGTCCTCGGAACGGGCAATCTGATGATTTCAGACCTCACAGTGCAGCATTCTGGGATATATGTGTGTGCGGCCAATAAGCCTGGCACGAGGGTGAGGAGGACAGCCCAAGGAAGACTGGTGGTGCAAGGTAAGAGCTCTCTGGGTCAGGACCCTGGCTTCCTAAATGGCTAAATGCTGGTTTGCACACAGGCACCTTACAATGGTTTCCTTGCGTTTTATTCATTGGTCGGTTGAACCAAAGAGTGACTTTGTGCCATCCGTTCAGAATTTTCTGCATGGCTAAAGAACATTAACAAGCGTCAAGTGTCAGTTGCAAGGGTTACTGGCAGTACATGAGAAGATGGCTGTGCTTCAGTTGGAGCTAACTGTTTGCAAGTGGACAGGAGAAAACGTTTTCTGCTGGTTGTTGCTCCTTCCTCTTCCGCTTCCCCTTCTTCCTTCCTCCTTCCTCCTTCCCCTTCCCTTTCTCTTTCTCTTTCTTTCTCCTTCCCCTTCCCCCACTCCTCCTTCTCATTTTATTACAACACTCTTGTTCCTTTTTGGTCTTCTTTCTCTTCTTTCTCTGTGTTATTTTAGCTGCACTAACCCTCTCTAAAGGTTTAAGGAAGGAATTGGCCTGCTGATGTCCAGTGATCCCAGGAGGACCACTAAAAAAGATCCACACGTTACCTGTAGGTTGCCCTTCCTGGCCTAAGAGGACATTGAAAATGTTGTCAAGGAGGCAAAGGACATCATGTGCATCGTGATCCCATTGCACAAAGGACACATATTGTAGTTCATGATGGGTGTGACATTGTGGTTTGTAGCAGGCACCTACATGAACAGCCCCTGGGTTTCCAGACCAGGGTGGGAAAGATTTTGTTTTGCTGGAAAACCTTGGAGAGCTGTTGCTGGTCAGTATGGACAGGGGTTATTCCATGCGAACCAATGTCCTGACTCAGCGTCCTGCCACTCCTTACCCCAGGCATCTATTACAAGTCACAATGATGTCATCATGTCATTTTTGAGATCATGTCACAGCGCACTTGACATCACTTGCCCCCGCTCCTCTGAGTAGAGCCATGCCTTCATATTCCCAAAATGGATCATATACCCCAGAAACGTAGGCACCAACTGGCTAAGTTTCAGGCATGGAGAATTTTTTCCAGTCCTTGGACATTCCTACAAGCATGATGGTTGCTCTCTATGAGCTCTGAACTTCCTATCGTGCAATAAAAGTTAAACACAGGTAAATGTAAATTCTTTCCTTGCTACTCATGTGGTTACTTCTTGGTTTAAATCAATGCTTCCCAAACCTGGGTAAAATACCTACAACTGGGTAAAAGTGGTTTTTATTTGGGTAACGACACATGAACCCATTCACAGCAGGGACATTTCAATCGACTTAAAGATTACCATGTGTGCTGAAATATATTCAAAAATCTCTGAAGGTATTCCTATTAAGATGAAAATGGATGAAATTACCAGTGGTAATTTGTTGAAATGACATCATTCAATTATATTGTTTTTATAATACAGGTAGTCCTCGAATTACGATCATTTGTTCAGCGACTGTTCGAAGTTATGACAGTGCTGAAGGAAGGGACAGACAACCAGTCATTGAAGTTCTGGTTGTTACAGCACTCCTGCAGTCACGTGAACAAAATGTAGGCGCTTGACAACCAGCTCGCACTTACAACCAGTTGCAGCGTCCCATGGTCACATGATCACTATTTGATACCTTCCCTGCCACTTTCCCACAAGTAAAGTCAATGGGGAAGCCAGCAGGGGAGGTCACAAGTCCCTCAAGTAAGTCTCCTTCACCCACCCCAGCCTTCCTTCACTGCCACACCCTGCACCCTCCTTTCCCCCCTGAGTTTTGGGTAATGAAGGAAAAAGTTTGGGAAGCACTGGTTTAAATAGATCCAAGTTTCATTCAATGGAATAAGACATTGTAAGGAAGAGCCAGGTTAGTCTATGCTAGCAAAAATCAAGGGTGCCTGGTAACACTTTCCTTGGCTGACACATTTGATTAAATGTATAGGCTTTCTTGAGCATGCAACAGAGAGCTAGTCACTCTATGCACATGAGCTCCAAGGGCTCACCAAAGCTTATGCCTTTTAATAAGATTTGTCCACAGGACTTTTTGAATTTTGCTGAGCGATTGGGTGGAAGACGGCCTAGGCGTGCTTATTTCTTTACTACTAGTAAAAGGACTCAAGAAAAGTTTGTTTGTTTTCCAGTTCTGTTTTGAAAAAAGAAAGAAAATGGAAAACGTAAGGAGGGAGGTGCTCAGATGAATTCCCATGCTGCCCCCCCCCCC